CCAGGTTGTTCTCAGCAGCCCTCCAGCCAGGCAATGTTGTTGCCTGCTTCCAGCAGGCGCACTGCCCTGCTTATATAGGCAGCCGCTGTCTCAAAATGGCCGCCCTCGTCAAGCACCTGGAGGCTGCCCGCTCCAGGCCCTTAAAGTTCCCCTCCGGCTCGTCCCCAAATCTCCATCCTTGGCGGATGATCAGAGGCTTTCAGAGGGATGAAGGATGGCCTGGGGCTGACAGCATTAGCCACGTCATCGGGAAATCTGGGTCCCAGCCTCGGCTCTGCCCCCGGCTAAGCCTGTCTTTCTGGGCCTCCGTTCCCGTGGGCGCTCATCACAGAGAAGTGGGGCTGGAAGGGACCATCCCTAGGCAAACCATCCTCAAAACTCGACACGACACAACATCACACCCGGCCCCGTCACAGGGAAAGCAAGGGAATCACGGTAGCCAACGTCCTGCTTCAAGGAGGGGGGCTTAAAAACACCCCAAGGCATGTCGCAGAAAGACCGGGGGAGCAACCAGCAACACCAGGAAGCCTTGGAAATGCCCCCAGTAGAAGACCAGAGGCACCACTACGCCTAGATCGACCCGGCCAGTATCCGCCCGCCCAGGCTCTCCTTGAACCCCTCCAGCGACGGGGAGTCCACACCTTCCCTCAGCATCTAGTCCACTGCCTCCCTCTTCTCACAGCATAGGTGGTTTTCCTGAGGTCCGATTTAAATGTACTTTGCACAACTTTGGGCCCACATCTTCCTCTCCGCAGCGAGAGAGAAGAGGTGCTTTCCCAATTCTTTCCGGCAGCCCTTCAAGTCTTTGCAGACTGCTGTCATGCCCCTCTTAAATACGCACCTTTCCACCAGCTGGATGTGCCCAGCCTCTCCTTGCGGGACTTGCTTTCTAGGCCCCCGATCCTCTTTGCTGCGCACCTCTGCACCCGCTGTAACTTCTCCACGTCCATCTCTCTGTCTTGTTGCTGTGCTTTGCTGGCTCGTCCCTGCCGCGCCGTCTGCGTCACTCTTCGTGAACGGGGTCCCGGTTCTCAGTCTGAGTCTCCCCTCGCATAGCACAGCTGCACGGAGTGTGCACGGACCCCCGAGGGAAACCATTGCATGTCTTTTGGGCAAATTTGCAGGACCAGCTCTTTCAGTTCTGCGTCCTGGCGGTCCCTGAGGTAGTTCAGAGAAACAGCTGTACAACGTAAATCCTCCCGGTTCCTCCGGGCACCCGGCTGGCTAATCTACGGCAGGACAGGTCGGGGCAGTATATCCCAAACCAAGCTACCCTTCTCTACCACCGTATACCTTCTGCCCTACTTATGTCAGCGCTGCACATGTGCTGCTCATGCAGATTAATGAGAAGGCGTTTTAGGGCAAAGCATGAGGGAGCCCGCTTAATTTCCAGGTTAGAAGGTGCCCGAGGTTAAATCAAGGATATTTCCACCCTCCTCCCCTCTCACGAGCCCCCGTGCACCGCGGCTCGTCAGGGCAGTTCTAGTGGCTCCCCTTCGAAGCTGCAGGAGCGACGTCTAATGATTAATAACTACCGGTGCACGCTGCAATGAAGGGCAGGGAAACACCCTCCCCGTCTGTCTAGGGCACAGAAAGCCCCACGCACAGCCGGGACGTAAACACCCTAGCATCCCGCCGCTCAATGACAAGCTATTATCTAATTACGGAAGCCAGAAAGACACCTTCAAGCAACATAGAAAATGGAGACGCCGCTCTAAGAACGAATCCAGGATGAGACCCAAGGAGAGCGCGAAAGGGAATAAACCTTGATGCGCTGAACGGAGATGAGAAGCGAACAAATGCAAGCGGGAGAAGATTGGGAACCAGAGGACTTCCGCACAACTACGCAGGAAACAGCCAAGCCGGCCCACCCAAGGGGATGCACGCAACTGAAAAGTGGGCGATAAATTTCTAACCTCGAGAAAGAAGAGAGACTGCCATAGGA